TCAAATACCTAGGACTCCAATACTTAGATTCACGACTCACATGGAAAGCAACAATTAGCATATTAAAGCAACAATAGACAAAATACAGATGGCAAGGAGACAAATGTACTGGCTAACAAGTCGAAAATCCAAACTAAGCATAGAGAAGAAACTAAAAATATATAAAATGGTCATAAAACCAATCTGGATGTACGGAATAGCACTATGGAGAACAGCAGCAATGAGCCATATAACCAAAATAGAGGCAACGCAATCGAAAGTACTCACAACAATAGTAAACTCACCATGGTACGTCAGGAATGAGGACATTCGGAAAGACCTGGGAATACCAACGGTCAAGGAGGAGATTAACAAAAGTGCAAGAAGGCACGGAGAAAGAATAGCAACGTACCCAAACCGGCTGGCAGCGGAAACGGTCGACGCATCAAGCATAGAAAAAAGTACCCAAACCGGCTGGCAGCGGAAACAGTCGCCACATCAAGCATAAAAAGAAGATTCACAAAGGACATAATCTAACAAACATGATGATGGTACACCGCTGGGGGTAGCCACCCACATGTTATATTAGCACACCGCTATAATATTTTACCAAATGTCCTACTGGACAAATTGTAAAATTGTAAAAATAAATAAATAAAAAAAAAATCTAATAAACTAATGCTTCTAACTTTCCAGAAAGAATCAAAGTCGTTAGGTCCAATTTTAAAAATGTTATTTTGTTTTAGGAGCTGTACAATGTACGATGTGATCTGCTGTGTTGTAAAAGAAAAGAAAATTTCATAGGTATAATACGAAGAACTAAAATAGTTTAAAGTCGCATAAGTGTTAATATAGTAAGAAATGTCTTTAAATACTTCATAAGGTCTATGAATAGAAGAAAATTAAGGAATTATCGTTGCGTGACTCATATGAGAAGAAACTAAGATTTAAAATACTAAATATTGCTTTAGTTAGAAAGTGATATTAGTAATGCAGCATACGTATTATACAAAATTTATTCAATTATCAAACGATCAACCTAACTTACCTAAGGTGAAGTTCGATCGTAATTATATGAAGAGCCTCGTTCGAAGATATTACATGTGTCTCCTTCTTATCTCCTAGATATTACAAGTCATAACTTGGGAGCAAGAAAAAATGCGGTTCTCTTCCTGTTTTATATCGAACATAATATCGCATATTACTCACTAATTCTACGTCACAGCAACACGATGAACTTCTCTCGACCACGATTAATTCAACTCTGACAGCATTTACCACGCTCATTTTCCCCTTAACAAACCTTGGTAACGCTCACAACACTCCTTGACAACATTGACATATCTTGACAATGTTTATAAACAATCAGCCACGTCCTTCCCTGACGTCACACCATCCCACATATGTAACGTAGCACCGCTGTCAATGTACCATTCCATCGGTGGTTCCATGTTTATATTCAATGAAACATCAGTAATAATACTATTATCCTGATTATCTTCATCCTGAATATTGGAAGCACACAAGCATTGTTCAGTTTTGGATATTTCAGGAACTTGTACTAGTTGAGCTTTGTGATCATCGTTTTTCTTCTTCAAACACTGATTTGCCTTATGTCCACGTTTGTGACAATAAAAACATTCAATGTGTTTTACTTTATTAGCTTTTAATAAATCTATTTTTATTAGAAAAATTTCTATTTTTATCATACCTTTTGTGTTTATTTGAATCTTCCACTTGTAGAGCTTCTTAGTGATCATTCACAATATTTGAATTATGATGAGAATTAGCTTGTTCTAATAATTTTATCTTAAGCGCATCTGGAGTAGGTAATTGGTCCCGCGATTCGATTGCACATCTAAAATTTTCGTATGTATTCGGGACGCTATATAATAATATAATTGACAATAAATCATCAGCGATTGGAATATCCATTTCTTTTAATTTATCCACGTGGCTGAAAAAATTATTTAAGTGATAGGATATATTTTCACTACCGGACATTTTCGTGAATAATAATTGCTTCAAGAGCGTACCTTTTCTTGCGGGTCCTTTGGATTCGTAAACCTCCTTTAATTTATTCCACATTTCATGTGAAATTTTGCAATGCTTCACATGACATAGCTCACTCGAACTTATGGTAAGAATAATATCGGCTCTGGCTTTATCATCCCTTTTATTCCATAAAGAGGCTTCATCCGCTGCTTCAGGTTTAATTATTGAACCATTTGCATATTCCCACAAGTCATCTTTAATGAGTATTGCTTCCATTTGCAATTTCCATGTGTCGTAATTTTCTTTATTTAGCTTTTCAATACTTAAACTCGCCCCGCTCGACATTTTTTTTTCCTTTGATAACTGTATTATCACGTAAACAATTATTGTATACTCGATAAAGCGTCCTTATGATATTCAACACTGAATCATCGATCACGCACCCCTTTTTTTTGTTTTTAGGTTATCTTCTGCGCTCCTCAATATTATTACTATTAATAATATTTTCAATAAAAATAGTAACTAATTATTGCACCTGGGCCCATAACCTGTTGTTATTTCTATACTTAGAGGTAGGATCAAAATAGTTATTTTATTGAATGGATAAATCTATCACACCGTTCTGAGCC